GGCCCCTTTTGAACTTTTCTATCCTCTATGTCCCATGTCTGCCTTGTTGATTATTCCAGGCTGCCCAGTGCCTGGCACATAGTATTTTCTGAATGGACAACTGGATGATGTTGCTGTCTTCCAGAACCCTTTCATGCCTTAGGAGCAGGCTCAACTGCCATCTTTCCTTTGACATCCAGTTACACACGGAGTCTAACCAATTTCTCAGATATAAACTGTTCAGTGTCTATAACTCTAAACCCAGAGCACCTCTCCTCATCTCACAACAGGATTACCATGGCAATTGAATTTATCCCACACACAGTATCAAGCATCACTTTCATCATGCCACTTCTTATCCCTGAAATGCCTTATAGATCGTCGTAAATCTTAACGCATCCCACAACTGGTGCTGCCCTTAACTAATGTCATTTTCTCACAGACTAACTACGTTCTCTATCCTAGTCTACTCCGAATGCCTGACTTGCCTTTTCATCTCCTCTGACAAATAATGCCATTTTTCTGCTTAAAAATACCATGCAAAGTGGTCTCACCTAGGCTTAGCTATTTACATCATAATTTAACACATCTTCTTTTAAGAAATTTTTTATAGAGGCCTCAGTGATCCTCCCACCTTGGCCTCCCAAAGTGCTGGGATTATAGGTGCGAGCCACCATGCCCAGCAACACATCTCCTTCTAAAACAAACTCACAATATGGAATACAGAGTACTATAAACTAGGGAATTCATTATATATATATATATGTACACACACACACACACACACACACACACACACACACACTCAACAACTAATCCTAAGGGAGTTTTACCAGATAATATAAATACCCAGATTAAACTAAGCTTCTTTAGGGCAAGAATTGTGGTTTTTGCTTCTGTCTTTCTTGTGCCTTCCCCAGCCTGGTATATAACAGATGCTAAATAAATATTTGCTGAATGAATAAATGAACAATGTGTATGGATTCTTAGATACAAGCAACATATTTTCACTCAAGGAAAGCATGGAAATAGTCAAGTCAGAACTATATGTAACAGAGACAGCTGCAAAGTATGGCTGTATATGAAAGTGAACTATTACACGGAGATAATGCTGCACAAAATTGCTAATATCCCATACATCTCAGATCTGGCCACCATCTTATAATTTTCTGCCTCCAGATTTTAATTTCATCTACTGAGAGAGTTTTTGTCCAGAGGAATGAACCAATTTGATACATTCAGGTTATAACTTACATGCTATAATATATTCATCCAACAAATCTTTATTAATTACATATCATAGGCATATACACTGCATATATAAACATGGAAGATTATCTTCAGATACTCCCTAGTAAGGGAAACAGTCAGGTAAACCAGTGACTACAATTAGGGCACAGATATTCACAAGGTACTATTGACAATAGAGAAAGAGGGGCCCTTAACTCATCTTGGAGCAATCATCAGATCGCTGGAGAGGGGTTAGGAAAAACTTCCTATATTTAGAGGATTTTTGAAATGGAATTAGGATTACCTATAGAGAGAACAGGTAAGGGTATTGCAGATTGAAGAAAACAGAATGTGTAAAGCCCAGAAGCTTGAAAGAGCATGGTCAGTTTGGCATGGCTGGAATATAAACTGTCAGGAACATAACATACGTGACAGGAGCCAAGTGATGAGACAGAAGCAACACCACACAAGGCTTTTTCCACACCAAGGAGAGCTGACAGAGTTAATCGTGGTAAGAGAGAGAGGACAGAGCCAAGAATAGACAATCTGTTTATAATTTGGTGACTGGATATGGTGACACCATTCACCAGGGAAGGGAATGATAATTTAACAAATTTTTATTTGGCTATGGAGTAGGAAAACAATGAATTTAATTTTATGTAGTGAATTTGAGAGGCCTTGGGTCATTTAGATAGGGGTGCTTAGATATAGCAGTAGTACATATAAACTCTGTTCAAAGGAAGAGATTTGGAATAGAAATATGATTGCATGTCTATAAGGTTAACGATACATGTTGGTCTAGTGGTCTTGGAAATTCCAGTACTCTATAGTCACATCTCTCATGTTTCTTCTATTTCTCTTTTTTTTTTTTGAGACAGAGTCTTGCTCTGTTGCCCTGGGTAGAGTGCAGTGGTGTCATCATAGCTCCCTGCAACCTCAAACTCCTGGGCTCAAGCGATCCTCCTGCCTCAGCCTCC